ACGCAGGCGTTTAGTACTCTGAGCGTACCCAAGCAGCCCAAGAGACGGCCGCAAGTACAGGTATGTCCACACCCCCAGGCTGTAACACTGTGTGCTTGCAAGGAAGCTCTGAATCGCACTGCAGTTAGTAGATACATAGCCTATTCGCAGTTCTCTGTTCGTAAGGAATGTCGTAAATTTGATATGTACTGTATACGGTAGATATTAAATGTCGCAAATTTGAATTTGATATGTACTGTATACGGTAGATATTAGAATGTCGCAAATTTGGTATGTACTGTAAACGGTAGATATTGGAATGTCACAAATTTGATATGTACTGCATACGGTAGATATTAGAATGTCGCAAATTTGATATGTACCGTATACGGTAGATATTGGATTGTCACAAGTTTGATATGTACTGTATACGGTAGATATTGAAATGTCGCAAATTTGAAATGTACTGTATACGGTAGATATTGGAATGTCACAAATTTAATATGTACCGGATACGGTAGATATTAGAATGCCGCAAATATGATATGTAGTGTATACGGTAGATATTAGAATGTCGCAAATATGATATGTACTGTATACGGTAGATATTGGAATGTCACAAATTTGATATGTACTGTATACGGTAGATATTAGAATGTTGCAAATTTGATATGTACTGTTAGCGGTACATACTAGGCCTATGCATCGTATGGGTGCTGCGCCAAAGCATTTGGTGTCACTGTATGTAATTAATAATCAGAATCAGTCCGCGCACAACACATTTGCAAAGGCAAGGCTTCACGATGCGTTGTATGAAGTATATATTTGACTACAAGCGGTACGTTTGCGACGGCAAAGGTCGGATATGCACTGTATGTTGTAAATAATCAGTCTATATGCAGCACATTTGCATTGACAAGACTTCGCGATGTGTTGTATGTAGTTTATATTTTACTACACACGGTATGTTTTTGACGACAAAGGTTGGATATGCACTGTATGTCGTAAAGAATCAGTCTATATGCAGCATGTGTGCAAGGGAAAAGTTCTGATTTGCACTGTATGCAGTAGATATCAATGTGTTTTGTACGCACGGCCGAGTGTATGTGTTGACTACAACCGTTTATACTTTGTCTGCGAGTGCACCTTTCGGCGTTTACTCTACATGTAGTCGATATGATGTGAATGTACGCCACATACAGCCCAAGTGTCAGTCGTACGTGTTTATGTGTGTGTTTTCGGTAGTCAGTGTGTGGCTGTGCGGACACGCAATAGAGTGCACTGATACTGGCACGTGCCAGGGAACACTTGTTGGCCTTTGCATTGCATAGTGCGTGCTTTCCCAGTTGAGACCAGGAGACTGCCACAAAGGCTTAAATGGCGTAGTCTATCAGGTGCTGAGTATCCAGGTGCCTTACAAGCATACAGAGTTTGCATCATCTATAGTAGCTGTATGTGGGCGCCTACGAGCCCCTGTAGTATATGCAGACTATGAGTATGGGTGTGTATAGTGTATGTCTGTTCTGTAGCACACAGGTAGTCTTAAAACTGTTGCCTTGTGCATAGCGCGTATAGAAGTGAATCGCGTGCTAGCCAGGATAGTCGTAGACTACGGGTTTGCATACGTTGTATCAGCAAATACACAGGCAGGGGTTGGATAGCATGTGGCTGTGAGTTCATGTCACGTACACGTTGAGTTGTGCTGCTTATGGCATGGGTATGCAAGCCCATACGGTGCATGATTTCCTATGTCATTTCCTGAAGCACGGCTCATAAATATCCGGTTGTGCAAGTTGTTTACGTAAGTTCATTGCTGCATATTACGCATATAGGCACGATTACGCATATCATTCACGTACGCTGATTCTCACAGTTTCACCGACAAATAGGATACGCATTCGCCTGCCCAGAATCTAACGCTTTTCACAAGTGGACATGGGTTTGTAGCGTTATTTATACGCCGTAGTCTATTCATAGAATCGCTTGAATGTTGTATATTCTCGGACAATTTGTCGTAAATGAATTGGGGTAGGTTGCCGTAGATGGATTGGGTTAGTTTGTCGTAAATGTATTGGTCGTAAATTGATGGTTAATTTTTTCGTGAATGGATTGGGTTAATTTGTCGTAAACGTATTGATTTAATCTGTCTTATATGGATTGTTTATTTTTTCGTAAATGGATTGGGCTATTTTGTCGTAAATGAATTGGGATGATTTGCTGCAAATGGATTGGGTTAATTTATAGTCAATGTATTGGTTTAATTTGTCGTAAATGGTTTGGGTTAATTTGCCGTAAAAGTATTGGGTTAATTTGTCGCAAATGAATTGGGTTAATTTGTCGCAAATGAATTGGGTTCGGCTGTTGTAAAATAATTGGGCTAATTTGTCGTAAATGAGTTAGGCCAATTTGTCGTAAACGGATTGGGTTAATTAGTCGTAAGGGGTTAACCTGTCGTAAATGTAATTGGTCGATTTGTCGTAAATTGATTGGATTAGTTTGTCGTAAATGTAATGGGGGTTTTTTTGTCGTAAATGGATTCGGTTGATCTGTCGTGAATTAATTGGGTTAATTTGTCGTAAATTTATTGGATTAATTTGTGGTTAATGAATTGCGTTATTGTGTCGTAAATATATTGGGCTAATTGTCGTAAATGTATTGAGTCACGTCCAAGATCTTGCCGACTACGGTCATGTTCGGAGATATAATTGTTCATCCACATCATTTTAGCTTGCGCGCCGGTTGATATCACACCAGTTTCAAACATTTGCTACCTCCGAGCTTGAAGGATACGCCTAAGTCTCTCACTCTGAAACCCAAGAACACTCGACTCCAAACCCAAAAACCTAAGCTCAAACCTCCAAAACCCTAGTTGAATTCGCGTAACTCACGCGTGAATCCTCCAATACATATTGTCCGTGGAGACGGGAATCTCCCGTACAGCAAGCTTAGTTATGGCAGACAACAAATAAAATAGACCTACCTTCACAGAGCGCGAGGATTGTGCGCTTATGATATGGCCTCGAAGACCTTTTGTACGGCCGCTTGTGCACATATAAGTTACATATCGCATAGTGCCCTCCAGGTTCATATGAGAGCTCTACACGAGCAAAATTAGATACGGTGAAGAACAGAAGGCTAGGACTACCTCCATGAGCGAAAACGACGAGTCAGATATTTAAACCTTTGATCGCTATTGCTTATAAGGTTCTGGTTTTTTCTTGTTTGACCGACTGTGTGCGCACAGATTCCATATCTAACAACCTCTTCACACACACACACACTCTCTCTCACACATGTAAATAGGACGAGAAGGACAGCCCAGATGAGGTCGATGGCAGACAACGGGGGATGCATCCACTCAGTGCGAACAAACTGCCCATCGGCCGCGGAGGTGCGGGTGGTGGGATAGGCGGACGCCGGCTGCTTAATCCGCAAGGTGTGGAAATAAGCCCCGGCACTAAAAACTCATACCCACATACGGCTGCAGGCTCGTTACGCGCAGTTGTGAGCTCAAGTGTAGGGGCTGGCGCGCATACGGGGCCACCCCCACCCACACTAGAAGACGTGTCAGCTATAACAGTTACGACTGGGGGTTCGACTGTAGCTGCATCTGCGTTGGCTGTGGCGGAGGATAGTGGTGCGAGAGATAAAGCGGCTTTATTGCGTACGGATACGTTGACACGTGCAGATACATTGACACGTGTGAATACTTTGACACGTGCAAATACGTTGTCGCGTGCGCGATTGGGGACGAGCCCGATAGCGGTGCACCCAGATGAAGAGACAGATACCGGTACAGACCCTGCAGGACTAGGTGCATCAGTTGGAGACGGCAGCCGGAGAGGTTCCGGTGGAGGGGGTGGCAATGCCGGGTTGGGTACGAATGTACATAGCAGTCATGATAGCGATAGTAGAAGAGGTAGTTTGGAGAGTATCGGAGAGGGAGACAGGCAGTCTTCAGGAGGTACACATGATTTGAATCCAGATAAAATGGAAGGTTTTTTTGGGCATAAAATTAGTATTCCGGTTCCGGGGGTAGGGTTGAGTAAGCCGATGTCGATCCCAAAGGAGGCCCTAGTTAGGAGAGATACCAGATTGATCGTAGGTGACTCCAAGAGTCATGTCCACGCATCTAGGAGCTACTCCAACACATTCCTGAGCAACAACGAGGGTAGCCAGACATTCAGTGGTAGTAGACAGGGAGGACCTCAACTTAGTATCAGTACATCACCCAGAGCGACACCTGAACCGAGTACTGCACCTAAAAAGGCAGAACAAGACCCATTGAACGTCTCACCAAAAGGCGTGGTAGCTTTGAGCGATGGGTATGTAAAACTAAACACACACACACACACACACACACACACACACACACACACACAC